GCTTTCAACAAGCCGCGAGGTAAATTGCACCTGTTGCATCCTAACACGGATTCGAGCTTTAAAACGTACGGATCGTTTCATAGCAATAACACAGCCGTTTTACCACCGATTTAACACATGATCACATTATATCAGATTGATCAATGGCGGAATGGAATCGATTGATAAGTAAGCAATAGCCAAGGTTTCGCCTCAAGACAACCAACCTGGCACGGAACCATTGCCAATCTTCGCTCCTTTGTGATATTCAATTCCAGATGCTGCGAATCATTTTCACTTCAAAATCTCGATTCTTTCGATCTTCCTTTCTTACGTCCAATTTATTCACAATACCACGATTATTCAACTAAAGAAAGGAATCAATTAAGGCGTTTAATATTCCAGATGCTACTGTAGAAGAAAAGCATAATACTGTTGAAAATTAGGTAAGAAAGTGCTCACCTATGCCATGAATAGAGTTGAAGTGAATTCAAGTTGAATTTAATCCTTCCATAGCTAGGTGACCCTATATTGGGCTTTCTACATAGGGCATTTTTTTCGTATACTTCACCATAACTCATAATAATCATGCACTTTCTACTCGGGCCCATGATAATCACTATGAACATGACTGACAAAAAAAGTGGACAAAATATACAGTTCCTCAGGTAGACAAAGGAACATCCCTTCACTGCTATTATGTAAAAATGTGTAGAACAGATGTCACATGCATATTCACCTGTTCTACACATTTGTACATAATAGCAGTTAAGGGATGTTCCTTTATTTACCTGATGAACTGTATATTTTGTCCGCTTTCTTTGTCAGTCATGTTCATAGTGAATGCTTGTATATTAAAGAGAGATGTTGTACTATTATGTGGATTTACAAAGAGCCCCGTGGAAGGCCAATACCGTTTAATAATTATCTAAACATTAATGTACAGGCATATTCAGTATATCATATTTAGTTATGAATTTAACAGTTTTATATTTTACAAATGAACAGGCTGCTCAAGATAAATATGTAGAATAAATACATAAATTAATGAATACATAAATAAACAAATATTACATAATCAACGCCCACGAGCTTAAGCCTACTATAGATTGCCAGGAGTTAAGGGTAATAAAACAAACCAAATTAAAAACTGTGTTTTCACTTGTTGCTCCCAAATATAAAAATGTATCTAGAAAGAATAAACTATAATTAATTACCCTAAATGATTTTCTTCTCAAATATCAGTATATGGCCACAATTCAAGCTGTCCATGTTTGTTGGTAAATGTTCATTTATTGCTAGAAACGATTGCTAGAGACAATCGCTTTTCACTCTGGAAAAATCATATCCGTGTAAAGAGGAGGGGATCTACATGTCATGTCACCTCTGTACTCGCCCCCATCATACAATCTGCTACTCAATCGTTTTTGCAAAGGGGCAATCTGTTTTTATTCTTCTCCGGTAATTTGAACACAAAGCTCATACATTTGTAATTCAAATGATTGAAGTGAATAACCAAGCAAGTTGAACGAGATCAAAGAAAGATATATTCTATCGATGGTGGAGAATTGTATAGTGCTGTGTGATAACGATGCTCCGCCTCCCAAAGTGATAACACTTTTCATTCTATGGTCAATATTTTCATCTGATGGCACATAAAGATAAACTTGACCTTGACATCGCTTGTTATTATGACGAATTTATGGAATGGCATATTACTCATAATGGCCTAGTTCAATATCTAAAGTGATATCTGATTAACAAACCTACTGCCTGGTCTTTATCTGCTCCCCCGCATGAGACACAGTAGCGCTCCCTTTTAGAATAAATATTTTGAAAACTTAATGAGATTGATAAACAAGATGTATATTCAAAGTGATTTAATTACTTTTGATGTCAAAAAGGTAGCCCCGTCAGTGAAGTATTTAAACGAATGAATGGCAAATCTTAAGAAATCAATATTACACTGTTGGTCATAAAAGAGGAATAATATTTTTTTACCCCAATTTATGGAATGATTTTGACAATGATTATTCTTATAGATCTAATTAATAGTATACATTCTCAGATTTTATTGAATAATAGTTTGCGAGTGTTTATTTTTCGTGACTGCTAAAACATGTGTGTGCTACTATGCTAATCAACTAGGGGACCAACGTCCTTAAGTCATCACGGACAGTAGTGAGGATTAATGCCTCACAAAGGGCACCATGACAGATACACTTTATCAACCGTTACTAGACTCCTGTATCTGATATAAAACAAGAGTGAGGGAGATTAAAAGAGAGAGAGAGAGAGAGAGATGGGGTGAGACAGAGAGATGGGCGGATAGAGAGAGAGAGAGAGACACACACACACACACACACACACACACATGAGTGATGTGGTGAGACAGGGGCACTGCATGCCCCTCCCCTCGACCAAAGTCTACCCGTACACGCTGCAGGCAAAACAAGTACCTTCATTAACACATTTAGTTAATTTTTCTTTTACTTATCAGTTATTTAGAGACTTAATTTTGGACTTAAAAATGTGCTTTCTTCATTTTTCTTCATTTTACTCTTGGGACCTGGGAGAGAGAGAAAAAGAAAAGGGTTGACTGAGGAACAAGCATGTGTCAGAGAAAGTTGGAAATGTGAGAACTGATAATGGACAGTGGTAAAATGATGAGCACAAGGGGAAGAAGGAAGAAAAAAAGTTTATTTAAAAATCAGGTATTGAGATGAAATTTGAAGTTCCATTTTCCTTTCTTTTTGTATCCTCTTCTTCTTTGTAGCATTATGATTGTGTGACGACAAGCGCCCCTGCATGTAAGCTACCTCACCACGTTGAAGTCTTTTACTTACGACACTTACTCAAAGAGGAAAGGTTTTACCTTTTTTCCAGACCAACAAAGTAAACGGCATCGTGAGCCTGAAAGCAAATGAGAATATTTCCTTTTTATATCTATTAAAATTATTAAAATTATTTACCATTTTAGGCCCACTCTTAAGAGTTATCTCATTTAGACAAATCCCTTTATTTGTGACAGTACAAGTTTAAAACTGCTCATACGAAAAAAATAAGACGCACCCGGGGCGCACTCGTTTTCTCTAAAGTTCATAATTCTGAAAAGTAAGTAGGGTCCGTTGTTCCAAACGCTAGTAATTCAGAAAATAATGATACAGGGTTCTATGTAGTTTTCGGAATTACGAACCTTATACTTCATCTTCGGAATTGTGAGCGGTATTTCACTTTTCGGAATACGAACCTTTGGAAGTATGAACCTTCTATAATAACAAACTATTGGAATTATGAACCTTCGGAAAAAACAATTGACCCATGGACATAGGGCTTTGGAGTTTCTGTCGAGTTTACTCACGATTTACGAGTCAGCCAAAAATGTCGGTAAAATCTTTGATCTTTGACGACCAATCTCCGTAAAAGATAACAATATTTCCCTCCTTTCTTATTGTTTCTCTCTGGTTAATGCAAACACGAACGCAAGATTAAAAGTAATTTTATCAAGTCGTTTTATCTATTTGATGTCCGATGATTAGTAAATTCGTTGGAAAAAGAAACTTGCTGCTACAGTACAGTACTCAAGTTTGCATAGTCTGGCGGGCTACATGTAAATACTTTTCAGTCCCCCAAAAAAACTTTATTTATCAAAATGGACCTAAACAATCGCACAAATCTAATATTCTCTTTCTTGTACAGTGTAAATGCGTCTTGAGCAACTTTCACATGAAATGTATGGATAGTCAAGTTTGACATTAAACTAAATATAATGAGCTAAAATCGAGGGGGTGTCTCTGTAGTCACGATGTAGATCTAAATGTATTATGACGAAAGTGATACGTCCAATTGCGTATCAGGGATTTGGTATAGTGGGGGGGGGGGGGGGGGCAAGCGAGGGAACGGAGCGAGAGATAGGGGGTGAGGGAGAATGGTGCTAACGCACATTTTTCTTTGATTAAATGTTATTATCATACAAGCCTGTACTTCAGTCTCAGAGGCTAAAAACAATGTTAAATTGCACTATTTTTTTTCCTCACTGTCTAAAATGTCCTCAGATATTTATTTAATTTTAGATAAAACAAATCATAACTCGAAAATGGTCAGGATGGATGGGAAATTTAATTTGGACTTTTATTGAATTACTGACTTACAAAAATTGTCACGAAGATGTCAGGTTTTTTCTCCAATGAATAACAAATTTCCCTTCATCTGTTTTATAAAACAGTATGTCTCGACTATGCGCCTGTGATTTTAGTTCCCACTATAAAATAAAAAAAAAAAAATTAAAAAAAAAAAGGACAACTATTCTGTAAAACAAAACACAACAAAGCAATATGAGCAGAAGAAGAAAGCCAAGGCTGCTATAATCCAAGATCAAAAGAATATTCCGCGACAAATAAACAATTCCTCAATGTACCGGTGTATCTTTTCATCTTGGAATAAAGCCGCAGTAAGACTCCTTCCCTCCTCCAGATTAAAGGCGGCATGATTCGAGTTCTAAAACTTATATCCGCGCCTTCTCTGTTTGACTTTCAACCCACAATTTGTCTCTTTTTTCTTTTTTTATATCAGCCGGCGGATCCAACGTGTGTATAGAGAGGCCGCAGATGCGGCAGTCCTGTTTATTTCCCGAATATTCAGTATTTGTTTTGCTTTATTTGGTCTTCTATTCTTTTCCTTCTTTTCTTTCTTCTCATAAAACGCTGCAGACATGAGCGGTGTTGGCGGTGGACCACGCCGAGTGGTCCGGGGGTTCAAGGCAAAGGAATTGGGCAAAATCTCGTTTCGGCTTTCACGCCTTCCAACAGAGAGAGCTCAGCTCACGTCACGATATCCACAACGTCGGCTTCCCTTTCATCTTCCACTTCGCCTACAAGAGAGAAAGAAGCCATTCTTAAATCAGTAGGCCCATGCTTAAATTAAGTCTGTTGGCCTCAAATAATTCCTCCCGCCCCTAAAAGATAAAACTTCCCGAAAAAGACGCCCTCCCCCTCTTCCTCGATGCATATCATTAAGTAGAGAATACGCACCCATTGCCAACCCTCTTAGCCAATCAGCTCACACACTTGGCGGTCCGTCGGCACCTTTGATAACTGAAATCCAATTATTTGTTTATACAAAAGTGGCAGTGGGCTATTACTTCATTAAGTTGCCCGCCCCATTGTACCGCCTATCCCGGCCCCTCTTATAATGAACGCTATTTTGCGAGTCAACAAACCCTCTTGCGGGTCTTTTGTGGTGAACTAATGGACGGGGCCCCCTTTCAAATCCACCGCACCGCTTCCTCATTGGTGGGCGGCATCTCTCAAAGGACTTAGACCGTCAGATCATTGGGTAGCGGCGAGATAAAAGACTAGACGTAATGCGGCTTTCCCTCACTGACTATACACACACACACAAACATCGTACAAATAACATGGGTTAGTATATTTCTCAATTCATATACCAGTTACTCCCACACATCGAGCTATTTTCTTTTTCTCACTCCCTTTCATTTCTTACCCGGCACATTGTTCATCTGAAACGAGTCACACCACGATCATTCTGCACTTACTTCGCCAAACGTTCGAGTTTCGAAAATACTCGCGTCCAAGAAAAAAAATCTTCATGACATAGGGCACATGAGTTGAAGAGCGCGTGGAATATAAATCAAACAACACGTGTATCTGGACATTAGTACATTGAAACTCCCACCAATTCAGTTGGAGAGGATAAAGCATGCCGAAAGGTGAAGCCTTAGCAAGATTCCTAGAGGTACGTTTCACTTTTATCATTGTTTCCTTTGAACATTATCAAGAATTTGATTCTTGGATTCATAATCTTTCCATGACACTTGGTTAGTCCCGAAGACATAAACATTGAACAACCAACGTAATTATTAAATTTCATGTACATTCCGAACTTAACTTAACATTGACCTGATTATAATTATATGAATATTAATCATGTGTTGTTTATTTTGCCACGAAGAACTAAATGCACTCCCGTTGTCTCTCACATGTTTTTTTCTTCTTCGAATTAAGTGGATGTTGACATTGTGATGAGTTGCAACTAATCGAGATTTATAATTGTAAATGAGTCGTATTTCAAATTATGAATTCGAAGAACAACTTTTTTGTCACGTCTTTTGAGACAGATAATTATGTGTATATCATACTATCAATGTCTTTTGGGTAGTATCGTGAAGCTAGAGAGTTTACTAGAGTCTTAGCCAAGTAGCTTCATGACTCCTATCTCCGGGAAAAATAGGAAATTATCTTACCTCACACGCTGATACGAAGAACGACTTTATGCAAATAAGAATTATCGAGTTCATAACCCATACTTACGAGTAGTACAGCGAGTGGAAAGTATTAATCCTCCATCTCCTTTTAATAAAAATATCTTCAATTATACGACAATGTTGTTTAGTAGTAGTATGATGGACCATGTTTTACAATAAGAAGTCACTCCTGAAAGCTGTTGTCTGCAGTGCATACATATTTTTTTAAATCGTTGACAATGGAACATGTGCACGTGTCATCGACAGTACCCATCACTATTATTGTGTTTTCGTCTCCAATTGCATGATCATTATACTCTACCATTTGAAATGGTATTCAAATCGACATGCAAAACATCAACCGCTAAGAAATGAAATTATACAACTTTGGTTTACTTCTCTCGGCATTACATCATAAAATGGTCTTGTGACATGTACTGTGCCTTGAATATCAAGATGCATGAAAGTTTTTTTAATTTTATTTTTTTTATCTGGAGACTAGTTATGGACTGAAATACATGTATATCGTAAATGAAGTCCCGAATATTTGTTAACCGAAGTTAATATTTTGCTGCTCAACCATATCAATGATAACCATTCTATAATGGTCGAGTTTTTAACTTAAAATTTTAAGTGTGCTCTTTTCCCGAATGATATATGTTTTGAGGGGAATTTAAAGCCCTATAGAAACTAAAAGACGAATTTTTATTATCCTCTACTGTTTCTGTGAGTTGTCATGACGACTTCCATCTCGCATAATTTTACTGTAATTTTGTTGTTGAGAAAATAATTAACACATATATTTCTGAAATAGGAATGTGAAAGGAACATTGAAATGTTTGGAACCCCGTGTAGATTTAATATGCTGAGATTTGATAATAGATTGTGAAATTCAATTTAAGAAATGGGAAAGAAATTACAAGGCTATGTTTGGCCAAGGCCACCGACTACGAAATAGAAGATGGCAGCTATAGTAAGTGCATTTGTTGACGAGCAAAACTATATATTCTGAATCTGATCATGGCTATAGAGGAACATTCTTTTTCCTTGTGCTAGGTGAAGTATCATTTTCAAGGGTAGTTTATGAGTGTCGATATGCAAGTGTATAGTGTGGAGGAAGGGTCTATTTATACCACATATTATTAAGTGCATCTAAATTAAATAGGAATTGGGAGGATTATTCTATGTATTTGTTCAGCTTTAACGGATTTATTCCAATAGGTCCAAGCGATGGTGGAATTGAAAATGTGTCCTATCATAACTTGGTTATGTCATGGTATTAATGTTGACACAAAAGTCCTTCACATAATTAAATGCTGTTTCCATTATATTCACATCCCATTTCAATTAAACAGTTACCAATCAAATAATTTATAGGATAAATGTCAGTGCGAGAGATACACCCATTTCCCGATTCTGGATTTATGTGTCATTGATTGAAAATATATTAAATCTTTATTTTAATTTGTATGGTTTACAGCTCTCAGAAACCAACGTAGGAAAAGCTGGTCAACCTAGCCCCCTTGCAATGTTAGCAGCAACTTGTCGAAAGATAGGAGGACCTCTTACAACACACGAACCAGCCAGACACTCAGCTCCAGCACAGCCCGCCAGCCAAGATCAAAAAGTGCTCAAATCGCCAATGCCAGCCACTGCAGCCGTGCTCCCGATCTCGCATGCGGGCAGGAGATACGAGCTTCCCCCGACGCCTCCCGCTGAAGGTACTGTGCCGGTCCGTTGTGATTGTAGTGGTGGTTTCATGCATCGCTTGCCCCCAACTCACCCGCCTTGCTTGAAGCATCTTTGGCCAGCCGCTGCTCAGAATTCAGACATTGCAGCGATATCGTCGCCGTATTTTACCGGACATCAACAAGCTTTTTATCATCACGCTCATCATTCATGTCACACGATACCAGGTCTCCACCACCCAATACCGCATCCGTACTCGGCCTGCAACGCACCGAGCCCGCCTGTCACACCGTCATTTCATCATCACCACCACCACCACCACGGACTCTCCCCCGTCTCCCCACCCACTATCAACATTCCAAGTCCCACCTTCAGTGTCCCGAGCCCTGTACGTCTAACTCCACCTGGCAGTGATGACACCCAGTGGTGGAGTATTACTCGCCAAAACCAACAACACCATTTTACACCATCACACATCTCACTCGCCGGACATCCCGCCCAAACCTTGGGGCTCTATAATCCCCACCTCGACGCTCGTCCCATGAGCTCCATCACGAAGCTCGCAGCACGTAGATGCAGACGATGCCGATGCCCGAACTGTCTTAACCCGTCCATTTCTAGCGAGCCCGCCAAAAAGCGACAGCATATTTGTCACATTCCGGGTTGCGGTAAAGTCTATGGCAAGACCTCGCATCTCAAAGCTCATCTGCGTTGGCACACAGGCGAGCGACCCTTCGTTTGCAACTGGCTTTTCTGCGGGAAGTCGTTCACGAGATCGGACGAGTTGCAGCGGCATCTCCGCACACACACAGGCGAGAAGAGATTCGTATGCCCCGAGTGCGGCAAGCGATTTATGCGAAGCGATCATCTAAGCAAGCATTCAAAGACACATGCTGCAAGAAAAGAAACGACGTTAAATCCACAAGGCGAAGAACACGAAAACGACTCCGAAAGCGATAGTGAAGATGAAATTGTTGATGTGACATCTGACTAACTGGGGACTGAATGTCAATCATAAACTTTGTATCTTCAGATGACGGTAGATTTGTACAATAAAATCTATACATTCAATGATTGCACATTTTAATGCTTGTGATCATATTATAATTGGCACCTTCAAAATAAGGGAAAAGACTCAAGATAAACTTTATTGAGAAAAAGATGTAACAGGAAAAAATGAAAGTGTATTTTATTAAAGTGTATACGACTTCTCACTGTTTATTTACCATCGAGTGTATGCAAACAGGGTACTATATTTCAATGACATGCGGTCGTTATATTATGATATGAATCATTAATGTATCAAAATTCACGCAAGGATTGATTTTTAAAAGTCATTTATCATAACTTGTGAATCAGTTGTAGATTCATCGGTGCATTATTATGATGTTGAAAGGCACTTTGAATTCGCACTTGTTTAAATCCATTCAAGTACGATGTACTTTTATTGTTGAATACACACACCATCGCAGTGAATGACATTTAGGAATATAATATTTTGTTCTCACACAATGTTCGGTACTAGTTGATTGATCATGCATTCATGACACACACAAAATAATAATCTAGTTCACTAGCTGTGAAGGTTTACATTCCATCAACCTTTATATGTAGTACATCAATGTGGCAGGATTTTGATCCCACTGCATTGTGTCTCTCTTGCATTAGATCTGGTGTAATGGTACTCACATTTTCATGTCAGATCGTGATCACTATGTTAAGAATTATATGCATTTCCTGAGGTACAACTCGAGGTGTTGCTGGCAACAGTGTCAAAATACAAAAAATGTTTTAATGATGGAGATGATTGCCAGCAAACTTTTCCGTTTTTTCAATGTATTGTTTGTCTGGTAAAAAGAAATTTACTCAAGTTTAACATCTTCCCATATATTCACATAGATATCAGTAAATTATATTTTATTTTAGTTTAATGTATATGTAATTACAATCTAAATTCACAATCAAACATCCAGTGTGAACTATTAAAAATATGAATGTCACAAAATTGACCCACGAAACCTGTTCACGAAGGATAATGAGTTCAAACAAATTTTTTTCTTAAACGTCAGAACAAATATTTTCTTTTTAGAATTGGAGGTCGGCAAATTCTAGAAATGATTTTTTTTTTTTAATTGACATCACACAATGTATGTTTGCAAAATTCACTTCCACGGTTGCACTAATACCATTTTCAATGCACCGGTTTGAGCAAATTCTTTAACTAGCATAAATATATCTCCTAAACAATGTTTGTATTTATTTGTTTATGTATACATATTAATGGAAAAATGTGACTTGTATCAATATAATTTGGATAATCTCAATTTCAAACATCTATATTGATCCTTTTCATAGTATTTTTTATGGAATAGAATGGATTTTAAGGAAATTATTTGTTGATAGCAAGTAGTCTAAATGTGACTAGGTCTTGATTCATTTATTCATATAAACTCTGGGACATCTGCTTTTTCATTTATAGTATCAAAGTTAAAACTACGAGGAAATAAAAGAATAATAATGCGGAACCTATTAATAGTATTCAGTAATATAAGAAACTACTCCTCACACGGAGCCTTTCCTTTTCATCATCATGTTCATTGCCAAAATCTGACCAAGCATTGGTATGTACATCGACTCAGTACTCGAAAGTTCTATCAATTTGCCAAACATATTTACTCAAAGGGCAAAAACTCAAATAAGCACATGTTTGTTTTCCTGAATCTTTGTATTACTTTGTAATTCATATCAATCGACAAGAGCCAAATACGGAGCTATGCCATGCAGGATAATGGCACAAATGCTGTGAGATTCTCTTCTTAAATGTGGATTTACCCATTGGGTAATGACAAAGATTGTTTATTGATATATTTTCATTATTATAATTGTGCAATTTTAGAAGAATCAGTTGTTGAAAATCGACTTTTCTTGATTTTTTTAAAGGTAAACATATTTTTATATTTGCCAAAGTTTCATTGGATTTTAAGACTTGATTTGTATATATTTGATTGACTTTAAAAGTGCCAATGTTTTAAACACGAGTTATTTTTTGTACTGTGGAAAAAATGACACATATTTCTTTTCTTTTAAGTGAAAAGTTACATGAACATTTTGCCTAATTTGGTGCACAGTCAACATGTTGTCAGTGCACATTCTGCACTCAATAAAACAAACGGTAAATCACAATATATGCTCTCTTCTTATCTTTTGCTTTTTTGGGGTCCATATTTTTTTTGTCTTATGTATTTTTTTGTTTTTAAAGTCGCTATTTACCTATCAAAATTAAACATAAAACAACAAAAAAACATCAAGAAAGAAGGCGATCCTGAAATCCTAATATATATCTTGATATCCAAAGCCAAATTCATGAACAATACCACTATTCTTATACTAAATAGTGCCATTGGTTTAGATTGTTATTTGTGTGTGGTGCACTTTTTCTGTAGGATGTTTAAAGGTAATACAAAGATTTTGGGAAATTTTGAAAATTGGGTGGATAGGGATTCTTTACAATTTTGATATATTTGGATGCTCCTGTGGATGTACTATAAGCACTAGAAAATTTAGCCCCTAAAACACTTCTGCTTTCGAGAAAAATTGAATATAAATAGCGCCTACGGCCGTACAATGGTAGCTGCGACCATGAAAATCTTAGAATATGTAGTTGTGATATATAATTTCCAAACGGGAATAGCTAATCGGTCTATTTTTGTCTTGTTTTATAGCTTAATTAATATCTTGACCTTGAGAGGGAACTATACAACATAAAGAGTTCATTCATTACAATGTCAAAACCTTAGACACGATTTCAACCGCGACAACGATCACTGAATATTGTAGGGTCGCATATGCTTCCAATATGTTCATTTGAACTAAATTCATGACCCCATACCAAAACTTTGTATTACCTTTAAGAGAATAATGGTGATGGTGATTGATGTTGATAAGTTGCGTGTATAGCGATACCAAGTTGTAGTGGAAGTAAAACAAAATTAACAAGCAGGAAAATTAGAGGAACTAGAAAATGGTTTGAGAAATATTCTAGCTTTCTCATTATCTGTCTAATTTTTCAAACCTTATTTGATCATTTTCTCTGATTTTGCTACTTGTTTTGTCAAAACAGTTTATCGAATGCCGAAGTTACGTATCTGGGACATGTAGCGAACTAGCGATAATGTTTACATAAATCGAGTATTATTTGGTTGATAATGTTGATGGTGGTGAGAATGATGGACATGATTATGGTGTTGGTGGTGATGAAAATATTGACGATGTTGTCGATGGCGGTAATAATGATGATGATTGTTGTGATGATGAAGAAGATGATGATTGTGATAATGATAATGAAGATTACGCAAGCGAGAATGATAAACCATGGAGTTGGCAACTTTATCGATGACGATCCTGAATACGAGCACTGTCTTTACGACGATGGTGTCCAAGACCTTGAATATTAAAAGAGCGAACAATTTTGCTTAGTTTTTATTATACGTTGGTTCTGATTAAAATCTTATAATACACACGAGTGAGACATTGAGCTTACGTCCGAACGAATAAACAGTTTCACCGATGAACAGATAACATTGACTTCATCATGAAAATCAGAACAATTATTCTCTCATTTTTGGGAGGGCATATTCATGACTTCGACCAACTCTGTGTATATGTGAAATTTTGGCCTGGCTTGAGAGGATGTGCTAGAACCGTCAACACCTACAGTAGGCTGTTCTCATTCAAGAGAAAGTTAGAAAGAACAATTGAAAACGATAAGACAATAATAATATAGTAATAGAAATAAGGAACAAAAAACATGTTCTCATACTGTATTTTAAATTTGCCGACAAAGCTCATGATTATGAAAAAGATTAAAATTGGTGAGGTTGGCTTACAAATGAAAGCTCATAATATTTTTACATTTATCAACAGCTATTATGGACTGGTTGATAAAATGCCCTTCTTATAAAAACGACAAAACAATGATAACAATAATTATAATACCAATACCAATAATGATAATAATAATAGGCCAAGTAATACTAAGGTAATAATAATAATAACAATAATAATGATAACAAAACTAATAAGGATAATAGGGTAGATGCTGAATGGGACATTTGAAATCAAGATGTTAAAGGGGTTGTTTGAAATCAAGATACCGACAAATATGTTTGTGATCAAGATGTTGGTGAAGACGTTTATAATGTAGATGTTGACGATATGGTAATGAATATATTGAATAAGAAATGTGATTGAAGTTAAGATGTTGACGAAGATGTTGGAAATCTAGATAATACCGATAAATCTTGGGATGACGTTGGCAACAATCCAGTTGTTGATGACGATTTTTTTTGTTAACAAGATGTTGACGAAAAGACGAACATTTTGGTAATCAAGATGATGACGAAGGTGTTCATGATTTAGATGTTGACGATATAATAATGAATATGTTGAATTAGAAACGTGATTGAAATTAAGATGTTGATGAAGATGTTTTAAATCAAGATGATACCGATAACTCTAGGGATGACGTTGACAACATCTAGTGTTGATGACGATTTTTGTTAACAAGACGTTGACGAAAAGACGAGAATATTTGTAATCAAGATGATGACGAATGTGTTTATGATTTAGATGTTGACGAAGATGTTTACAATGAATAGAGATATTGAAGAAGATTTTGAGAACAAAAGTTGCGTGAAACAAAATTTTAAAGGTAAAGACCAGTATTGGAAACGCCCCAATTTCAAAAAAATGAAATGGAAGCTCTCATTACAAATCATGTGAAAGAATATGTTTTGACTAATACTTGATGATACAAAATTTGCCGGGAAACCGCCTACTAATTCATATATTTGGTAAATTTGTTTCTCTCATGGTCTGTGAGAGATATAGGGTAGTCCCATATACATCTTTCTGTGTATAGTGCTTGTAACTTTACGAAGAATGGGCCAAATTTCTTATCATTTTGATGATTCCAGAACCTTGCAGATGCTAGATGCTAGATGATCAACCTTTTCTGATCGATTCCACAACGTTTCTTTTACAATGCAATCGCATGACCATAACTGGTCTTTACCTTTAACGAAGATGTTTGTGTTTACGATGATGATGATGAAGGTCAGTGAGAGCACCGGGTTGATGGTGATGACGAAATCTATAATCACATCATGTGATGAGGATGAATAAGACGACGATGATGAGGATGAGGGTGAAGAAGACGATGATGATAATGACCATGATTGTTATAATGATGATGATGATGACAAAGGAATTATCTGCACCTACGCTGATTACACAGGGAGCTGTGGTTACGATAATCATGATGAAGATGTTTGATTCTGATAATAATTTTGACTATTTCGGAGATGGATATTGTTACGATCTGGTTACGACTACATGTAAACAATTAACTAGATCGAGTGAAGAAGAAAAGAGTTCCCGTTGCTGATCTAGTCAATATAATTATTACAATTCGACAGTATTGTGGAATTCAATTTAATTTATGCCTATTTATAAATAGTATGGGTTAGACCTATGTTCTTACTAAAAGAAACAACGGTTATTGTGTTAGGTGTTACGAGTGTTATTATATGAGCAATTCAAAAGAACAATTTCTTACATTAAAGATGCTCATACTGTCTTCCAAAGAGTATCGATAATAATTCTATGCATACAATTTGATATATATTAAAATCTCTTTGGTTCGACTTGCAATTTTTTTGTTGAAGCCCCGTGTTCTACTCTGTCTGAAACAGATAAGTCGTTGTATACAAAATTCGATTTAGGTTAATCTTACCAAAATTATAAGGACATTTTTCCATATGAAATTGTGAAAGCTAATTCTTTCTGAAAGTGTGGCGGATCTAAGCTGGTAACCATAGAAACGGTTGACGATGGTTAACACGTAGTAGGTCCATGGTTAACACGTGTCATATTCTTTGCAACAAAATATCAAAGGTCGAGATATTCATTGTACTGTAATGATTATGGTAATGTCTCCTAAATAGCTTGTTATAGACTTAGCAGGAAAAAGAAATACAAATGTTATATCCATGGTTTATACGATGATGTACGAAGCTTTTACTAGTATCAGAATTTGTATCGTAACAAGAAGACAAGGTAGGTAGATGAACAAAATAAACAGTGGAAAAAGGGCAAGAAATTTTGCTGATCACGGAAGCAAACTTGTGACCAGTCCCGATAAATTTCCGTCTTAAACAAACTATTTAGATATTATATATAATACTATTAAAATGATCTTAAAACGACCTCTCAAAGTGTACAAATCTGATCTTGATCCATAATTCTAACGAAGATCTCATTCATGTAGTATTTTATGAGGAGTAGTGGGGAGGGTAACATTTTGTGGTTTATACAATAGACAGAATCTAATCAATTCTGAATTTGAAAGTGATATATCGATGGATTGATGACCATTTCTAAGATGATGATGATGGTGATGATGATGATGAATACAATCACCTTGATCAATATGGATGATCGGAAACATGCTCCGATTCGTGTCTTCCTAGTGAAGTAGCATCCTATGAGGAAGTATAATGGTGATTGTTTGAGGTGGAGGTGGCGGTGGCGGTGCACCGCGGTGGTATGTGGCGATACATGGCGTTGATGTTATTTGCGGTCACATTGGCGTTGCTTGTGATATGGATGAAAATTATGGAAATGATGATGATGATAATGATGTTTGGCGACGATAATGGTGATGTTGCTGTTTCTGGTAGCTTTGACATCAATGATGATGATAATGGTGGTGGTGGTGATGATGAATATGATGGTGGTGATGATGATGATGATGAACTTGATGATGACGATGTGGGTGGTGGTGCTGATTGTGGTGAAGTGGTGGAAATGAAAGCATTGATGATGAAGTTGATGATGTCGGGGATATAGATGATGATGGTGGTGCTGGTGGTGGTATTGGCTGAATGATGATTGTGATGGAGGTTGCCCTTTGAGTGTACCCTTCCCAATGTTCCCCTTGAAACGTAAGCATGTGCTTCTTAACACGGTGTTAAATAACACCCATAACATCCCATTTGATTCCCAAAAAGTTAAAACACTCCTTTCATGCCTGTGAGGGTATGTAGTAATTATCCATTTACATAATGCCGATCGTAATTATGATAACATACCCCTTGACCTATTGATTACGCTTTTATTCAAGAAG